GTTCAAGACTGGCAGTTGTTTGTTTCTTAAACTTTCCTCACCGGTCAGGTTTTCTAAACCTTCTGTCACTTTTGTTGTTCTCTTCTGGACTCCAGTTTTCATCTTTCCTAAAGTGTGGTGTCCAGAATTTGACACAGTACTCCAGCTGAGACCTCACCACTGCTGAGTAGAGAGAGAGAAAATTACCTCCCACGTCTTACAAATGATACTGCTGTTAATACACCCCAGAATATTAGCTTTGCTTGCATCTGGATCTCAGTGTTGACTTATTTTCAATTTGTGATCCACTATAACCAGATCCTTTTCAGCAGTACTACCACTTTAACTAGTTATTCCCCAGTTTGTAACTGTGCATTTGATTTTTTCCTTCCTAAGAGAAGTACTTTGCATTTGTCTTTACTGAATTTCATCATCTTCAATTCAGACCAATTCTCCAATTTGTCAAGGTCATTTTGAATTGTAAACCTGTCCTCCCAAGCACTTGTAACCCCTCCCAGCTTGGTATCCTCTGCAAACTTTAAGCACGCTCTCCACTCCATTATCTAAATCATGAATGAAAATATTGTATAGTACTGGACCCAGGACTGACCCCTGTTGCACCCCACTAGATGTGTCCTCCCAGTTTGACAGTCAACCAGTGATAACTACACTTTCAGTATGGTTTTTTCAACCAATTGTGCACCCCCCTTATAGTAATTTCATCTAGACCGCATTTCCGTAGTTTGCTTATGAGACCGTCATGTGGGACTGTGTCAAAAGCCTTGCTAAAATATATAATTGCTAAAGCTTCCTCCTAATCCATTATTCCAGTAATCTTGTCAAATAATGAAATTAGGTTACATTAGCATGACCTGGATTTGTCCAGAGCGTGCTGGCTATTCCTTATAATCCTATTACCTCTTAGGTGCTTACAAATTGATTGTTGAATTATTTGTTCATTTGTATTGAAGTTAGGCTGACTGGTCTATAATTCCCCGAGTCCTCTTTGTTCCCCTTTTCAAACATAGGTACTCTGTTTGCCCTTCTCCAGACTTGTGGAACCTCACCTGTTGCCCATGAGTTCTCAGAGACAATTGCTTCATCTAGCTCCTTAAGTATGCTAGGATTAATTGCAACAGGCCCTGCTGACTTGAACACATCTAACTTATTTTGATATTCTTTAACCTGTTCTTTCTCTATTTCCATATGTATTCCTTCCCCCTTGTTATTCATATTACTTATGTTGAATATCTGGTTGTCACTAACCATTTTAGTGAAGATTGAAACAAAATAGACATTATGCTCCTTAGCTTTCTTAATGTCATCAGTTTTTAGTTCTTTCTTTCTGCTAAGTAGAGGGCCTATTCTTTCCTTCATCTTTCTCTTGCTCCTAATGTATTTAGAGAACATCATCTTATTGCCTTCTTTGTCCCGTGCTAGGTGTAACTCATTTTGTGCCTTAGTCTTTCTGATTTTGTTCCTACGTGGCTTGTGTTATTCTTTTGTACTCCTTAGCAGTTTGCCCATGTTTCCACTTTTTATAGGATTTTTTTCTGAATTTCTGGTCATTACAGAGCTCCTGATGCAGCCATATTGGCCTTTTAATATTCCTATCTTTCTTTCATATTGGGATAGATTTCAGTTGTGCTGTTAATATGGTCGTCTTGAGACACTTTCAGCTCTCCTGAACTTTTCCCCTTAGATTTTCTTCCCATGGCACCTTATCTACCAGTTCTGAGTTTGTTAAAAATCTTATTTTTTTTTATAAATCCATTTTCCTTATTCTGCTGCTCTCACTACTTCCTTTCCTTAGACTCATGAAATCTATCATTTCATGATCACTTTGACCCAAATTGCTTTCCACCTTCAGATTTGCTACCAATTCCTTCCTGTTGGCCAGAATCAAGTCTAACATGGCTGCTCCCCTGGTTACTTCCTCCACTTTCTGGAACAATGTATTTCTGGTCATTAGAGTCCCCCGCACTACAACCAGGTCTCATGTTTTGGATATTTATTACTCCTGGAGGAATTCTTGACCAAAAAAATTAAAAATTCTGCACACAATATTTGAAAATTCTGCGTATTTTATTTGTCATAATAACACAATATAATCATGCCAGTTACAATTAAGCATGTTGGGTGTGGATGGGAGGGTTGTTTTTTTTTCAGGGGGTGGGTGGGATTATTGGTGTTGGGAAGCCTCCCCCATGTGGACCCTGGCTGACCCCCAAGCCTCTCCCATTCAGTTAACCCCTGTCCCACAGCCCTTATCCCCATGGGTCTCTGCAGCCCCCCTCCTCCATCCTCAGGCTCAATGCTGTCACCCCACTAGCTCCTGAGCCCATTCTCCAGTCTGTACCCCCACACTAGCCATTCTGAACCCCAGTCGGAGACACCTTCCCCTCCCCACTAGCAGCTCTGTGTGCTCCACTCTGTCCTCACCTGGCTCCGCGGGCAGGATGCTGTGTTGAACTTCTACACCTAGTGGAATTCTGCAGCACTGGCAAAATTTTGTAGTTTGCCTAAGAAGTGCTGCAGTTCTGCCTTTTGCCCACAATGGGCCGCTGTGGCACTAGAACAGCTGGCAGGAATGCAGCCTGCTGTTCTGGCACCACAGTGGCCTCTAATGGACAAAAAGCAGAACTGCAGCACTACTTAAGCAAAATTTATTTGTTTTAGAAATGTCTCCTCCACCCCCTCTTCCTGATTTGGTGGTCTGTAGTAGACCCCTATCATGATGTGCCCTATTTTTGCCCCTTTTATCTTTACCCAGAAACTCACAACTGGTCTGTCTCTCAGCTCTTTCTGAATAAGTATATATATTCTTGATGTATAATGCAACACCATGTTTCTTTTTACCTTGCCTGTCCTTCCTGAACAAGCTGTACCCCTGTATACCAGTCACGAGGCTTATCCCACCAAGTCTGTGATGCCAGTTATCATAATTTAGCTTTTGTACTGATAGTTCTGGTTCTTCGTGTTTGTTGCCCATACTCCTTGCATTGTGTGTAGACTTCTAAGATGTTGATCAGAGTCCCTCTTTTTGCTCCTATGACCGTATAGTAATTTTCCATAACCCCCCAAAATCTAATCCTCTTTTAAGGTCACTTTCCTTTATACTTATTTCTGGGCTTTTGTCACCAGCTCCCTTTAAACCTAGTTTAAAGTTCTCCTCACCAGGTTGGTGATGGTTTTGGTCAAATGATCTTTTTAAAAAGTATGTTTGCTTCCAAACTAGTACCTTTGAAGGGCTGTCTCTGAGAATGGAGCTGATGTATGAGTGTGCAGTAGGGATCTAGGAATGGTGGGATCTGGCATGTAAATGGGGAGGGGGAAAGGGGCCAGAGGAAGAGCCCAGGCATGATGGGGTAGGGCAGGCCAGACAGCCAGCCAGGTTAGCAACATGAGAGCCGGTATGGTAATCAAGTCGGTTTGGTGGAGTATTGCAGTCTCTACCTCAGAAGAGCTGAAGTATTCATTTGTAATGACATGTTGCTCTGGCTTCGAGGAATGCTAGGGTCTTCAGAAGTCTGCCTCAGGAAGCTGGTGTGGGGAGACAAGTGGGGATCTTTTGATGGTGCCTTTGGTGTCCTGTGCAGCTGCCCATAGCAGGGGAAGCTGGGCAGGCTCTGCACTCCTCATGTTGTCTGATGGGATTCACTTCAGCAAGACAGGTCTTGGCTCTAGGCTCTTTAAGTTGATCATTTAATGATGCATTATACATAAAAACAAGGCGATGGCAGCCGTAGAAATTCAGGAAATTGCATTGCTCTTCTGCTTGAAGCTTTCCCATAATAAAAAGCTAATACAAATAGACATTAGGAGGAGTTGTAGACTCATGCTGGAAGATCAGAAATCAATGGCCATTTTTGTTTGTATTTTTTAACTCGACGCAACAGTAGGCATGTACGTTTTTTTTAAAGCTGACTGATCAAACTTGCCCATTTTCCTAAGAAAGCTGTCAGTGCCATGCTATTTGTAGTAGTGTCTAGACGAAATAAATGTTGCATTTTTGTTACACATTTTAAAATCTTATTCTAGGTACTGGAATACCTGAATGACCTAAAGCAGTACTGGAAGAGAGGATATGGGTATGATATCAACAGTCGTTCCAGCTGTATTTTATTTCAAGATATCTTCAAACACTTGGACAAAGCCATTGCAGAGAGTAAAAGGTAAAAAGGCTTTTTTTTTTTTTTAAACTTTCAACTTTCTGCACTTTGGTCATAACTCGTACGCGGCCCTAAAGGGATAGACCTGAAGGAGATTAATGCTAAGAACTTGGATAATGGCTCAAGAATTAAATAATGTTTGGGCTTGGTTAGCATCCTTTTAAGGGACTGATTCTCTCATATGTAATAAGGCAATATTAATTCATCATGTTGCATCCTGTTTAGCCGTATCAATATCTATGAATGGAGTTTCATCCAAAAATATTCATAAGATATGGAGGAGTTTTTTTCACCTTGTTTTATGACCTGCTCTCTCCTCCTACGCACACATAGCTCAACGGCTTTAACTCAGACTTTTTAAACTATTTATTTTCTTATCTGAGAGAGAGCGTTGCAAGTTATGGCCCACAGGGAAAACTTTTGAAGAAGTTATGCTGTTTAGCACACTATTTTTTGTGTTGTAATAATTTCATTGAAAAGGAGAAAAGTACTTCTTCACATTATTTTATTTTTATTACCATAACCCCTAGGAGCCCTAATCATGGACCAAGACCCATTTTGCTAGATGCTTCTTGCCCCAAGGAGCTTAGTCTAAAGACGATCCCTGTTTGTTGGGTTAACAAAAGCCTGTGTTTTATTTTGTATTTTTTTAAATGTTGTTGAATCATTTAAGACTTAAGTGATGAGCCAGCAGCCAAGTCTGAAAGAAATTAATCATTTTGATTTAGATAGTGTTGATGTTCTGTTCCAGCTCATTAAGAACAGCATAATTTTAAGAGAGGTCAGGTTAAAATCATTATCAACTGGAGGGAGATGTACTTTTTTTTTTTTTTTAATTATTCTAGACCAGTGGTTTTCAACCTGTGGTCCACGGACCCCTGAGGATCCACAGAGTATGTCTAAGATTTCCAAAGGTGTCCACACCTCTATTTGAAATATTTTAGGGATTGCCAAATAAAGATTGAAAACGACTGTTCTAGACCAATTCAGATACTTGAGTATAGTTTCTCCCTTTTTGGAGTAAGAGCATTGGAGCTGTTGAGATTTAATTTTTCTGTTTTATATAAGGGGCGTATCATCTTAGACTTCTAGGTTTGTCACCAGTAGTTGGAATACAGACAAAGATACCTGTCTACAGAAGCAATTTTAGAGCCAAGCCAACTAGATGCTTTGAATCATCTCTTGCAAACCACAACTATCATCCCAGTCCCGCAGGATCTGGAGAGGACAAGCCATTTACTCAGCATATTCAAAAGGCTGGCTTTCATCCAGGATTTGACGTGTAAATTGCTCTCTGAGCACCAAACTTTTGCATGAATCCCAAGTCAGTAGTTCATATGGCAATATAGGAAAATGTCTCTGTCATATGGACCTTCAGGATGCCTATCTGCAGATCCTTACTCTTCTACCACTTATTTCTATTGCTTCGCCAACCTGGGACAAAAATGTTAATACCAGGCCTTACAATTTGGTTTACCCTCAAATCCCAAACCTTTATTCAGGTTATGATACTCAGGAAAGGCGGTTTCATAAACTTTTCTAGCCTTATCTTGACTGGCCAGGTACATATTACTGTGAGCATTCCGTGTACGCACTCTGAACCAGGTTCTGCAGCTTGTGCATCTTCTGTGATCCCATGTGGTGTTACTGCAGACCCTTGGGTCTCCAATCACAAGCCTGGATGTTGATTTTTCCTAGTCGCATTGGGCCTCTTCAACACCTGTTTTTTGGAAAATGCAGTCAAAGAACTGAGTTCCTAAGGAAACCACCACAAATTGGAATCTCCTTAAGAAGTTGCTCATCCCCAAAAGTTGCTCAAAGGGATGTCCTTTCGTCCCCTTGACTGCCTGTAATCATGGATGTCAGCCTATACAAGTAGGGAGCTTTTGTGGGAAAGGCTGTAGGTAGTGGTCATTCATGGGGGAAGTTGTCCATCAACCATCTGGAAGAGGGAATTAGCTCTTGTAGTTGAGGTTTTAGAATGAAGCATGTATTTCAGTAGAACAAGACCACAGTTGTATACATTCTCCAGCCAGGGGTTATGAACTAAGATGTCTATTTCAGTGGCTAGCTGCAACGTGTTGCATCAGAAATTCAAAAAAGCACTCTTGCTCAATGGGGAGGAAGGTGGCCTCCAAGGACAAGGTGCATCTGGTTATCTCTTTCTGAATAGACCTCTGTGAATAACTATTTTATTTAGTGGTGGAAGAAGAAATTTCAAATTCCTTCAAAGGCTGTTAGGACAGTGCTTAGCTTTGTCATAATTAGAGAGCATCCTTGTTAAAGATCTGCAAGGCAGCTGCTTTGGGTTGAATGCACATTATTGCAGAATGCAGTGGATGGGATGATATAGTTGAGCAGAAGGCTGCTTCAGGAGCCTGTAAGGCGGTAAACCCAGCCTAAAACATTCGAATGGATTGAGGAGGTCTGGACTAGTATACAGTAATAAGGGGAAGAGAAGATTTTTGTGTTTTTTTTAAAGTTTTCATGAGTCTAAATACACTTCTGTCAAATTTAGCCTAACGCAGGACCCCCCCTTGGGTCACTCTGGCTTGTCCAGTTTTTCTTTGCTGCCCTACAGTAGACTTACTGCTTTAAAGTTCACATACTTGGTTTCCATCTAACAGGAGAGAAAGTTTGCATACATTTGGACCTATATTCAAAAACTCTGAGAACATAAATAGATGCCAACTGTATACATGCAAACTACTGCTGTTGATTTCATTTTTAATGTAATGAAAACTCTAATCTTAAGGCTTATAAAATTGTTCAGCACCAACATTTTAAGTTTGTTAAACTACTGTACCTGATAACTAATTTACCAGACTTCTGGCTCCCCAGCCATCACCTCTCTTGGGTGGAGACACTCCTGCTGGGGTGTTTACAGGCTGTGAGGTTCCCTGCCTACACTGTGAATTTCCCAACAATCAGGCTGCCTAAGCAGACCTGCTTGGCTTCTCTTAGAGGCTATAAACAGCATAACTGCCAGCAGTTAAGTAACCACACAGCTCTTTCTAAGGCCTGGTCTACACGGGGTGGGGGTTGATCTAAGATGCGCAACTTCAGCTACGAGAATAGCCTACCTGAAGTCGACGTACCTTAGATCGACTTAGAATCACTTACTTCGCATCTTCGTGGCGCGGGAATGACGGCCTCTGCTCCTCTGTCGACTGGAGTAAAGCAGTCAACGGGAGAGTGATCGGGGATCGATTTATCATGTCTATACTACACGCGATAAATCAACCCCCGATAGCTCAATTGCTACCTGCCGATTTGGTGGATAGCGTAGACGTTTATTCTTATGTTTTCACTGTAATGCTTTTACCTTAAGAATATTAAAATTGATAAAAGAATCTATGCACGTGCTAATAAGCTTACCAGAGATCATACCAACCCTACAAAGGTCTCTGACAGGTGAACAGTCCTTCAAACCCCATGAAGGGGCTTTCCTGTGATTACAAGTTCATAACAGGTGTTAGCTCAGAAGAAGCCCATGCATGAATCTGAGAGTCACTCTTCTATTCTGTTTGAGCCTTTGATCTGGGATTACTTAATTCATAGACAATGGGTTTCTTCTTAGGGCGTCGCTTCAAAAGGCTGGATTTTTGCATACACCTCCCTCTAGAGATTTCCTGGGAAACTCACTTAACTTTAAAAGTTCACAGTTTCAAATAGTCCTTTGAAGCTCATAACTCTTTTCTGGATTTACATTAGTCAGGTCTTGTCCCTAGAGATACTACATACAATAATATATAAACATTTCCATTTTTAGTACAGTGAACTTCTAAAATACTTAAACTTCAGTAAGGTATAACTGAATTCAGTAAGGCTTATCCAGGATATTGCAGGAAATTTCTAAATCTGTCATGGTATGTAGTGTAGGGCCCTATGAAATCTGTGTTAACAAGAACCTGGACGGAATCACTGAATCAAAACATTAACGTGGAACCCTGCTCTCCCTGGCATTAGGATTGCAGTGTCAAGCAGGGCGGGCTGCACAGCTGAGCTAGAGTCAAGTGGCTCCATATTGAGAGCCTCCTGATCTGCTGTGCTATGCAGTGCTGAGGAGGAGGGCTGGAGGCTGATGTTGGAGTGTCCCCCTCCTCCCGCCTGTGTACCTGGTCTCCACTGAGCTGGGATTGCAGGGGGTGGGGGTAGGGAGGCACCTGTCTGTGCACCAGTTGCTGCCAGCTGCTGTCTGAACAAGTGTTCGGGCTGGTGAGATCTGTGCTTAAAGAGACTCTCTCTTTTCCCCCTTAACACACATTCTGTCTGTGTGTGTGTGTGTGTGTCTGTCTGTCCTCTGTCTCTCTCTCTCTCTCTCTCACACACACACTTCTATATATTACTTTTACAGTGTATCTGCAGAATGATTTGTTTAAATTGTTGGATTTTTTTTGTAAAATCAGTTTTTTCCCATTGCAATGCAATTTTGATTATTTTTATGCATTTAAGGTAAGGCTACTTATTGTCAACATATTAAACAATTTTGATTTAAAAAAAAACCCATAAAGATGGAATTTTTTGTTAAAGAAAAAAACGAAATCTGAAAAGTCACAATAATAAAACTGATTCCATAGGGCCCTAGTAGTGGAGAGGAGAAGGGGGCAGAAGCAACAAAAGCATGAGAAAAATAACAAAACCAATGGGAGTGTTTACAGATATTTTGTAAGAGGCCCCAGGGTGCTGCACTTTCACTGTAGTGTGCCAATAATCTAGTCTGTTGGCTCTGTTTTTTTTTTTTTTTTTTTAAGACCTAAATCCTGTGTATTGTTATGGACTAAAGTCTAATTCTTATACAAATCTCCCCTTATATGAGCAGAGGAATAATAGGCTAAAGATGAATAATCAATCAACTTACAAGTCATATCTGAGGAGATGTGGAAAAATACCTATATTAAAAAAGTACCAAATGCATGTTTTTAATTAAAAGTGATCCGGCTGGCTTTTAATTCCAGATCAGCAAAATGTTCATGTAGGTTTGTCTTACTGACTTTAAAATT